GAGTAAGGTGGTGGAATTATCTGGAAACACTTTTCTATCAAAATGAAATTTAGAAAATCATCTACTCCATGCTTCCATTAGATAATAATTATGATGCTGAAAACGGCACACGAAGAGACCCTTAACCCTAAATTTTGTTTTTAATGTTTAAGAATATTCTATGCCGAGGGTTGCCTCAACCATACAAATTGAAAAGAACACCTTGAGTTAGGTCTCCAAAAATGTGGTAAAGTGTTCACTAGCAGGAACAGAGAAGAATGTGTGGTTAGTCTCAGTTTTAGGTAGTTAAAGAAGTATACTATTAGTTACAATTGCCCATCAGTTATATACCTGAGTGAAAACCAGAATTCTGAATGGAAAAAGTACATGTATATTCAGTCATTTTTGAGGATAGATGACAAAACGGGAGAAGCTGACAAACTGACATTTTTTTCACTCATCTCAGAATCCAATTCAAGGTGTGAACTTGAATTCTGAATTTTTATGGGAAACTTAACATTTTAGAATGAATACTATCAGGACAGTAGCTTTAAGTACACATTAGGTTATTCTACTTTTAAAATTTCCCCAGAGGTGTCCAAAGTCCGTTTATTATATCCAGATATATATCAGTTAGGAAAAAGCACACATTTGCTTTGGGAACTAAAAAGACACTGACATTAAAAGGGTCTATATTACTATTTTCAATAGTCATACTCAGTGTTAGGCCATTATCACCTCAAAAATCATCTCACGACTGGCCCTTCACACACCCCCATTCTACCCTCCCCCTCAAGTCTATATTGTGCACAACTATTAGAAAAAGACTCCCTAGAATTACACATGGAGTCTGTAACTTCCCACAATTCACAGAATAAACTCTTGGTCTGATCTCTTTGTTCTTCTGTTACACTCACTTGGTGAACACAGTTACTATCAAATCTAAGGGCCCAGGTTTCTCCAAGCTTATATTCTGGCAGCCGAGATAAGATCACAAAGCTGTTCAATCTTGTCATCTCTTGAGACAGTATTTCAAACCTTATCCACAGAGCCCAGTACTCACCACACCACTCTGCGTTACTCCTTGGTACCACAGACTCTACCATCCCCAACACGCTGCCCAGAAACTTGGGAGCTGATCTGCATCCCCATCTATCTTTCTCACCATTCTCACGTTTGGGACGGAAGTAACTCTTCCAGCCAATGCCCTATAATATTCAGTAATCAACTCAGGGACTTCACTCCATTTCCACTACCGGCCACCTCACTTTTCTATCTTCATCCTTTCAGTTTCTACTGGCTTCTCCCCATTGGCATCTATGTATCTATTTTTTTTTTTAAAACCTACCTTCAACTGGGCTTCTTCTCACTGCCTCCCCATCTCCTCTCCAATAGCAACCATTTACAGTTTTCTGTGCTAGTTTTCGTCATTTCCTCTTCCTGCATTTACTCAGTCATAAGATTTCTGACTCTGTAAGTCCATCAAAACTGCTCTCTCCCAAATCTCTAAAATAACCTCTTGTGCTATCCTGACTGGAACATTTCAAGGCCTAACTGACCTCTTTTATCAACATTTTACACTGTTGTTTTTTCCCTTCTTAAAACACACTTCCTTTCACCACACACTCCCGGCTTTCCTCTTCCCTCCTGACCACTCTCAGCAGTCCCCTTGTACACCTCTCTTCTTTCCTTTAGGCTCTGAGACCCGAGGTTCTTCACATTTTACACTGAGCAATCTTTTCCACTCTCGTGGCTTCAGTTACTTGCTGACCCCCAAATTTTACCTCCAGCTCAGACCTCTCTCCTGAGCAACAAACCCATATTAACTAACTGCTTTCTAAAGCATCTTTTCTTGGATATCCCACTACATACCTCAAATTCATTATGTCTAAAATGGAACGTTACTAGTACCTACCCAGATGTTCAAGCCCCAAAACTTGGATGTTATCCTTTGTTCCTCTGTTTTCTAAAACAGATTAATTCTACTTCATAGATCTCTCTCAAATACACCTGTTCTTCTCCATTAATGATACTATCATAAGGGCTCAAGACATTTTTTTCATTAACTGATGCTGACCTCACAGTTTGGGCTGTTTACCCCAGTACCTTTATCTTTTGCCATTTTCTCAGTCACCCTCTACCCCATTCTTAATTCTTATTTTGTGCCTCAGCTATATGAACTAAATTACTCAGTGTTTCAGCTCTCTTCTGTCACCCAAATTTTCCATATGCAATTTCTTTCTGCAGAAAATACTCTCTGGACTGCTAATACTTTGACATCCTTCAAATCCCAGCTTAGATGTGACTACTATGTAGGAATCCTTGCCTAACCCTCTAAGCCTGGGTTCAGCTTCCCTCCTATGTGCTCCTACAGTCCACCTCCCTCTCCCATCACAGCACTCACCTCTCTCCTGGGCTTCCTCTTCCCTGTCCCCCATGAGACAGTAAGCTCCACAAGACAATGACTTTAACCATTCTACCCTCTTAAAACATAACATCCCACTTAAAACATAAAATACACTCTACTATTGAATAAATAAATGACACAGGTCTTGTTTTCTCACTTAGATGGCAGAAGAACTTTTCGAACCTTTCACAGTGCCTAAGAGCATATTACAGGCATTCATTATTTGTTGAACTAAGAATAGATTAGAACTGCATTTCTTCTTCCTTTCCATGTCTGTAGTTGATATAAAGAAGTACAAATGTAATGAGTATAACTTTAAAACTCCCGTGTATTAAACTGTATCTGGACAGTTAATCTTGAAATGTATAAAAGCAAGACATTCACGGTAGAGGCAAAACTCTTCATCGATAGAAATATTCCATGATTCATTGTATACATTGCCCTAGGAATTTTCCTAGAAAAGGCCTGTTGTTAAAAGTCTCTCAAATTTCCAGTCAATAATAATTCTATGAAGAAGAAAAACACATATAAAACTAATAATGAATTTTAGTGTCATTCCCAAGAGGCAAAAAGAAGTATGAAATATCGAGAATGAGAAAAAACAACACTTTAAGAAACATGTAAAAATCAGATAAATATAACAAATATTGCTATAAATACAACTTTATAAAAATAATGTCCTTGTTGACTGAGTGAAAAAGAATGTTAAAAAATAAAGAAGGAAAGTTATCAGTGAAAGATTAATAAAATTTTAAGCAGAACAGGAACTATTACTAGTACTCTTAAAAAGGAGAAACGGTGAAAAACAACTCAATATGGCACTAAAATTTTTTTAAGTATCACCAAAGGATTTGAAATTAATTTGAAAAAGTAATAATTAGGCATCTTCCATCTTATTTTTCTAGGGTGATAGCATATTTAGTGAGATGAAGAATCATATTAAAATAAAATTTATATTTATATACCTTAGAAAGATACAATGGTTAAGAAGTTGGAAGGATAAAACACAGTTCTGTTGAAAAATGACAATGTAAACTACCTTTACTATGAAATGAGGATGTATATGTATAAAGAATTAAAAATGAAGCACTATATTTTATTCTCCATTTGTGACAGTTTTAAAAATACGTGTGAATATTTTTAGGCAAATTAAGTTTTTTTTTAAAATCACTATTAGACTTCTCTCTTTTTTGTGACATACTTTTTGTTATAATTATTTTTAGTTATCCTTAGGGCAAGAAACAAAGGGCACTGCTTTTAGATTTGCTTCATCTTTCATAATGGAGACTCTAATTTGACCACCGTTAAAATTTCGATCATTGCATGTTAGAGAGTTAACATTTTTAATCCCTGCATGTTAGATATTACTGAAATAGGTATTTTAAAGTTATTCAGTTAAGCAATTAAATTTGGGGGGGGGGTCATAATAATCTTTTAGCTTATCAAATCTTGAGTTTAATTACTGCTTTTAATATTTTAATCTAAGACCTGAGAAATTTTTTTTTAGCTTTTATGGAAGTTTTTTAAGAAGGTAACAAAGATAAAGCCACCAATACCTCCCCAACCCCACAAAAGATTCCCCTAAAGTAGACAATGTAACAATACAACCACATGATAAGATATCCTTAAATTTCCACTCTTTCATGTCAGGGAAGTAATCAACAGGCACTACCACACTCCTACATACTCTGAATTGTCCAGCATCCATCAATCAGCAGAGCTGGAACTGGCTGTGTTGGTAGCTACAGTGTTTATATCCCATTTTTGCTAGGTTCTAACGGTAACAGTCTCCCTGAGGCACCACTGTCAGGTCAGCATAACTGTATAAACCACATAACTACTTGCTAAAGTAATTTCAGTTTGCCTTCTGAATTTAGCATCACTTTAAAATTACCTGTATATGACCTTCTCCCTTGTCAGGCTGTGGATTATCCCTGGAAAGAAATCCTCATCTTTATTTCCATGGGATCTAATTCAATGTCTGTTCAACAAGTTTGATGATTTATTGGGAAAAAATATCTTGTTCCTTGACACTCTTTAAATAAACACAATCTTAAAGTGGTCCCCAAAGGGCCTAACAACTTAATGGTGAATGTGAGACTGATACCCTAGGATTATGACACGTTATAGTCTTTTATCAATTTAGCAATGAGATAGTCTGTATTTCTCTCTACGTGGTCTCAAAGTTACTAATCTATCAAGACAATAAATATATATTAGCCTGCAGTGTAGTAGTTAACTTTTAGAAAGTGACTTGGTCATATTTATTTGTCCAACTGTTTTCTGTATTTTATATTAAACCTACCTGATGCAAAAGTAGATAATGTAATGTGTACTTTAATGATACATATTTAGTAGAAATTTTCTATGTTTCTATTGAATACACTTTAATTTGCTTGAAATCCCAGAAACATTTAGATTTGGGGAAGTGCACTGGGACATTTAGCAACACCTAATTTCTTGAGTTTCATACTAGGTGCCAAGAAAATAAGACTGTCCAGATATTTTGGAAATCAATTAAAACTAAATCAGCTGTTCCTTTCCTACCCATTATCTCATACTTTACACAAGGCACCTATAATGAAACTTTAAAATTAAGCACAGAAAAACTTACCTAGTTGGGATTTTGAATAATAGTTTGCCATTTGTCCACTGCTGCAAGACTGTCGTTTATGTCTTTTTGTTGACATTTCTGTGGTCTTCCATGGTGGTCTTTTCCTTTTGTTCAATTTGCTAAGAACTTCAGAATTATCAGAAGGATTCTTGTCATAGTTAACACATTTATTTAACTTACTACTGTCAAGTTGGCTAGGAAATTTATCGCTTGAAGGACTATTTGCTTTAGCATTTTCTATTTCTTTAGATTGCTTTTTAAAACAATTTTGCCTAGCAGAATGGGATCTTAAGGTAAAGCGCTTTGAGTCTTCTACATGAGTCTGATGATTACTTCCACTGTCAACAGATTCAGGAGCGTAAATGATTGTATTTAGCTTAAAAGTATTTCTGTGTTCAAGATAGTTGATCTTCCTCAAAAATATTCTACAATCTTTTAAGGTTTTTGACCTCCAATTATTTGGACACACATTTCCTAGTCTTGGCCCCTTTTCAAAATCTTTTTGACTGCAGTTTGTTCCATTCTCCTTTGCTTCTGACTTAAATTTATTCTCTAAACTAGCATGTGTTTTGAAGTCAGACATTGCCACCCTCTGCTGCAAAAAGTCATCCCTGATCTCAGGTGGCAAAATAAACTGATTATCTACTGTGTTTTTCCCTTGGAGTGGGATGTCAGCATTTGTTTTCCCCTCAGTCTTATTTAAAAATTGGTTCTGGCAGAAAAATCTTAAGTTTCTCCTCTTAGAGATCCAATCACCTGTTCCATGGCTGTGCAGCTTTCCCTCTCGCCTCCACCTTTCATGCTGCAACCTCTTAAACTCAGTTCTTTTTAATCTAGTTAGGGTTAAATTACTTTTCACATTTAAAAGTGGAGAGCTAACCATTTTATGTAGTAAATGCAACTTCCCTGATGATTTTGAAGGAGAAGATAGTGCAAATTTTTTAAAGTGCTTTCTGAAGGGGCTGGTGTTAAAATCGGAATATTTGTTCCCTAATTTAATTCCTCTGGTATTTATTACTTCCAAAGGGTTTCGAGCATTTGCTTTTCTAACTAGTGAAAGAGATTGTGTCTCTGTTGTTTGCATAAACCAGGTACAGAGTTCATTCAAATCATACTTTTTCTGAAAAAGCATTTTTACAGGTGAAACTTCAAGTTCTAAAAGACAGGTTTCCAAAGGGCTTGTTATTTTGAAGTTATCATTTTCAACATGTTCTCTTTTTTTAACACAATTTTCAGCTTCATCTCCACTCACACGCACCCAAGCATTTGTTATTTGCTCAAATCTATTGTTTAATTCCTCTAATAAGGAATCGTTTGAAGTAGAAGCAGCCCACCACCTGAGCAAAGGGTTTGATGAAATTATAGGGTCCAAGGATACTTCAGAAACAGGTATTAATTTATTTTCCAAACACGTCTTTGCATTTCTTGAATTTCTAGCTCCTGGAGTACCTTTGGAAGCTATTTTAATCCTTGACTGCTTATGTTTATCTTTCTGACTTTGACTTTTCTGCAAATGGATTTTACATGATTTATGGAGCAGAGCATTTCTACAAATAAGTGAACTAGAAGATGCTAATGAATGTAAGAAATGCAGAGATGGTTTTCTATCCCTAACAGAATGTCTCAAAGGTATAGTAGCAACCATACTTTCTGATCCACTCTTAAACTCGTCAGCTTCAGTGTGCCTTGTGCTCACCTTACTGCGCTGGTGATCATGCTTTTCTTCAGGCAGATTTTTTTCTAATATATTCTCTTGTTCTAAAGGAGGTAAGCAACTGCTAATACTTACTTCCCTCTCCTGAGGTGAAATTCTATGAATAGTCACAGATATGCCAGAGATTTTCACTTTTGCAGGTCTACCGGGCTTCCTAATGATTGCCAAGGGCTTCTGATTTGGTCGAATAATGTTCTTGGAAGGCTGAGGTATGACAGACTTGTTCTTGACAGGGCTGCCGTGTTCCAAGCCGGGCCCCGAGACCCCGCTGTCAGTAGTCAAGCTTGCAGCAGCACTTGTCCTCTTGCCAGAGCCCACCTCACACTCTCCGATGGTCCGGAGACCGTTACATCCTGCTGGAAAACCAGCAGCGTTATTGTTTACAGACAGAACATTGCTTATGTCCACACTTCCTTCAGAAACATGCCTTTTAGTTCTTCTTGACCTTCCATAAATGACAGTTACCGTGATACTCTTTTTATAAATACCTTCTTTTACTTCTGATAAGAGAGATTCTGGACTTTTCTTTCCAGCACTGAAGGACTCATTTTGGCAAAGGGTGATGTCTGTTTGGTCAGTTTTAGGTTTTGGTGGCCTTCCAATCGGTCGCTTAATCTGTTTCACAACCTGGGGACCTATTTTTTTAGGTCTACCTGGTTTTCTTTTAAAAGATGAATCAACAGCGCTGCTTGAATATTCCTTAGGTTCCTCTTGAGGCTTATCACTCATCATATCATCCATAAACATTGCAGAGGATTCTGCAGCTTCCTTTGCACAATTAAATTTGCTTAGTTCTCTTTGAAGAGTAGCACTATTATTAAGATTGGAACTATAATTTTCAAAGTTGACATTCGGTATATCCTCATTTGTTTCTTTTCTTTGGTCAGTTACTTGGTGGGTTGGTCGTTTTTCAGAAGAAGGAAGATCAGTATTTGATTCACAAGTACCGACCGAAGTTAAAGTGTATTTGACTCCTTCACTGCTTTTAACCTCAGATAAAAACATGAGTTTGATAGGACTAGAATAGTTGGAAAAAGAAGATCTTTCAATGGCTTTATATTTTGTTGGTACATTTTCAACACTGGACATCAAGCTACCCATATCTAAAAGGGGTGACTTTTTCTGGCTATCAGGTCTTTTGTTATTCAAATCAAGTGTTGGTGTATGATTGCTTTTAATATTGATGGATGTTACCACAGATTTCGATAAACTCTGCTCTTTGCATGCCATTCTACTTACAGCAAGAGTCATATTTCTAGCAGTATTTTGATCTTTACCATCAATTTCTATCAATTTCTTGGATGCTTTATATCCTTCTGATAATGACTGACTATTCCAAGACTTTTGGGCCATATTTATTGTATCTTCCAAACGTTCCACAACAACCTGTAAATTAGAATTCATTGCAATTTTGTTTAGATCTATATCGTGTGAGTTTTCAATCTGAATGTTTTTCACTGGATCTTTTTTTTTTATGGATTCAGAAACTTTTTTGGCCTTAGGGGATTTTTTGAAAACATAATTATTTGTTACATATATAGAATACCACCCTGGAGGCACAATATTTCGTTTAGTTCTGTTCAAAAGTCCAGGAACATCACTTTTCAAAGGAGTTTGAGTATTCTGTAATTTTGGCTTCTCCTTATAATTTTGCAAAAATGTTTTTCCAGCCACAGATTTCTCCTGTGATCTTCTTATGCTCATTTTCTCAGTTGTTTTATAGCTTTCTGAAAATGCATCAAAAGCCAAGTTAGTTTCTAAATTATGAAGAGGTAGTTGCAATGACTGTAATGCATAATCTGGTGAATATGATGTTTCTGCATGATTATTACCTTGAACGCTTTTAGAATTTTGTAAAGAAGGCCCTTGGCAATGATAGAATTCTTCTTTGTCCGTTGAAAGTGGATCATCATTGCGCGTAAGTTTCCTTGAATTTTTTTCAGTGTATTTTTTTCTTATAAAATTTTCATCAAGACTAGCAAGTTCCCTTTTTATCTGTAAAGACTGCCTTCTAAATATAGGTGAGTCAGGAGAGTTGTGCATTGCAAATAAGGTTTCTTGACGCTTTCGAAATCTTGTCTGAATAATTTTATTTTCTACCTTTTTATCATGTTGACTCAGTAATTCCATAAAACTGTAATCACTGGCTTTTGCATTATGCAACAGAGAGGTTATTAAATCTCTCAATTTTAAATCATTATCTGTATTACCATCACTGCTAGAGAATTTTATAAAGTTTGTCATATCTATAGTTTCTATTGATTTTAATTTTTCATTAATACGATCCATTAAATCTTGAAAAATTACAGTAGTTTCACCTTTTTCATGATTTGTAGTACAATTATTGCTGTCTTCTAAGAGCAAAGAATCAGAGTTACTGGATTTTTTAGTTTTACACATTTTACTTTCATGATCACCTTTGTCACTGTTTATTTCTGCTGGTGTGAGAGATGGAGGCTGGTTAATGTTTGTTTCAAGTTTGTTATTTTCTAAGGCTGAAAACTCTGAGATGACATCTTTCAATTTTTCAAATCCTTCCGTCTGTACAGGTGATAATGGCGGGGGTGAGGGACTTCGAGATCTACAAACATCCTTAAGACTTACTGAAACATCACGTACTTCCCTTGATGAAACAAGAGTATGAAAGGCTGATTTTGTGGAATGAATGTTTGGTAACAGTCCAGCACAGCACCTGTGAGAATTATAACTGTTTCCAATTCCTCTATCTGCTACTGTCTTAATGTGTTCAACAGTTACAGTTTGGCAAGATAAACAATGCGAATCTTTAATACAGACTGGCAGAGGCACAAAACCAGGGCTTTGTCTTTCATTTTGTAAACACCCTCTTTCTGCCAGCCTATATTCACAACTACAGAATAGACCATCTACATCATCTTCAATTAGGGGCTTTTGAGATTCTGAAGACACAGTATATGATGTATTACAACAGCAAAGAGAAGCAGCATTCTGCTCTTGGACTAGAAATTTCAACATAGCCAAAACTTGTTGCTGGTGATGTATGCACAAAGATTCCAAAACTTTGCTTAATGCTGATTTTCCTTTTTCCATTTTAGTAGCTTCCTCTGATTTTGCATCAACAGTTGAACTAAAAATAAAAATCAAACAAAAAATGAATTACAGTAAAAATACCAGTATCATAAGGAGTTATAATTTTAACAGAGTTTGAACAAAAGATATTTTAGTATTGATGGACTCCTCTAACTCCTGTAAAGAGCTGCAATAGTGACATCTTGATTATTGTTTAGCAAAAATATAATGAAGCACTGATGATAATTAATTTCCTATGACTAAGTATAAGAATCAAATCAAAGCCCTATTTTTGTAATATAAAAGTTGCTGCTGCTGACAGATATATTTACAGACTGCTAATGTTTAGTGCTTTGGATATATTAAGAATATTTAATGGAAAGTACTTCAGAAGGAGTTAAGATTTTTGTAAAGTAGACATTTTTATAAGTTATTTTGATAGTTATTAGTCCATATTAGTGCAAATAAGAAAAATAAGGTGTAGGAAAACATCTATCTTTATTTAAAATAGGTATTTTCAAGGTAGTGAAAATAAAATTATTAATAAAAGAGTTTTGCATAGTCACAAGGAAAATTGAGGGATTTATATTTCACATAAATAACAGAATGTATTTTCTAAGATTAAGCTGCAGGCCTTTTAACCTAATAAGAAAAAAAAAACTAAGCTATTTAAAAATGAAATCTATTTTAATTGATTTCTAAATACTAAAGTAATTACATCAAAACTATAGGCATTACTTACCTAATTATTTAATTTCAAATGCTGGAAAATGTCCCACTGTAGAAACTAAATACATCTAACATTAACTAAAACCCAGGATTACTTAGCAACAAATGTAGAAGTCTACAAAAAAATTTTTTAATCCAATACCAGCAGCAAGAAGAATAAAATATGTTGAAAGAATTCTGTTTCAGAAAAGTATCTATTTAAATTAAACATATCACCAAACTCTGTACATGAAAATAGTCTCCCATTCGTGATTTCTTGTATTTGTTGTTAGTTCCTGGTTTGTAGAAATTTTATTTAGGGCTGTAATTGAAGTATGATGATTATAAATTGCTACAGAAGACTGTATTTTGTTTAAAAGGATACTATGTTCTCATACATTAAAAATGAAGGATTTCTCTTTTAAAATGAAAAGTGAAATTAAATTTTTATTTTGCTCTCTAAAACTGGCTTAGTCCGTTTCACAGATAAGTATGGAATATTTTATCTACATTTTATAAAAATTATGCCATTTGAGTAGCAAAAACACTAGAGCAAATTCTGCAAATTAGATCAATATTTTTCTAGAAAAAAGATACTTTTACTAGAGTCAACCAATGCTTTACTACTACAGCTAACGTGATTTGACATAAAGTAGCTTTCAAAAAAAAAATGAGAAGAAATACAAAATTACAATAAAACTTTAAAAATCTACTGCCACCTCTAGACAGATGAAGACAGGACATGACCTCAGTATCCCTTCCTTTCTGAAAATAATTTTTTGGTAAATTTTATCATGATTGGGAGTGTAAAATGATGGAACGGACTCCCAAGATTCACTATTAGATAATTCAAAATACATATGTAGAGACAAAGGCAAGAGGAAATGTTAGCTATCAAATAAGAAGGTGTAAGTGGTATTTTACTTTTTTCTAGTAAATTAAAAATTGTTATATTTCACATAAACAAAAGAAAACCAAAAAAGGTTCTGAGACACTTTCAGTTATGTTATGTACGTTATGGTCTATTAAGCATATCTGTGAGAAAATAATTGAGAGATTACATGTTTCTCAGAAAAATACACTGCACTATACTTTAAAGATTAATATGCTTTCCTAACAGTTCTTGAAATACTCAAATGCTTTTTTCTGCTACTAAAGTATATAGTAGAAATAATAAAAACTAATGACTCGTGTTAACTATTCTGAAAACCACTGTAAGAGTTTTATATCTCTTTTGACATTCCAAAGAAGCCTATACTTCTTAGAGTTTCTTACTCAGTTTATTATTTTTAATAATGGAATTTTAAAAATACCACAGTGGCCAGTAATTTCTGTCTAATACCATACGAAGAGTAGCTTTAAAAAGTTACTAATTAGATGTTCATGTGTTAAGATTTTATATATATATATATATATATATATATATATATATATATATATATATATATATCAGACATTAGATAACTATGTTCTCAAATTATAAAACTTCACAATATGCTTATCTGGCTTCAATTTTTTTCTTTTCCATATATTTGCATATTAGAAATGCAAAGAAAAACCTAATATATGAGTAAATAATAGTTGAATACATACAAGCCTCCAATCTAGAATTTTTTTCAGTTGATTATAATAAAGTTTCTAAAATTGTATGTGTTCACAGTTCCCCTGTTTTTAAATGCTAAAAAATGTTCTAATCTTCTAACCTTTTCCTGTTTGATTTGTAAACAAAAACAGCCTGCCTATTTTTGTATTTTACTATCCATTTTGCCCATTCCAAGTTTTGTTGTTGAAATAGCTCTCATTGGAGGAAGTCAATTCTAACATTAATATTAATAAAACTGCTTCCTAGAGTGAATCAAAGAAGCCAGTGTAGTCGCTTTTTTCTTTGCTTTTTCTTTTTTTTCTTTTACTGAATGAGTAAATCAATCACACACCAACAGTGTTGTAAATTTAAGTGCAAAAGCATTGAAGTGCTTTACTACAAATTACAACCTAGAAACACGTTAACTGAACAATTAAAATTCATACAATCAGATTTAGATATATAACAACACAAAATAGAAACAGAATTACAGTACATTTACAACACAAGACAGATACATGAATTCATTAGAAAATATTGTAATAAATAATTCATGAATTATAGTGCAATTGATTTATGCATAAATATAACTAATTGCCTAACAATCAGTTTATATTAACAAAATCTGTCAAAATCAAGGCAGCCACAGAGTTTTACTAAATTACTGCGACAATGGAAATACTGCAATTAAAAAACAAATACAAGTATTTGTACTGTAAACAACTAAAAAAATCAGTCTCACTAAAGTTAGTATACAATTTAATATAAAATTGTCATTAGCTACCAGAAATGGTTTAAACAACTTTACTGAGCAGTAGTTTTCTAAAAACAGAGGCACTGTTTTTTCTTTTCCTTCTTTTTTTTTAAATATAAAATACTTGAGGAACATTCAAATAAGTAGAAAGCACATAAGGGTTGCTTTCATCTTCATTAAAAGTCTGCTGAAACTGGATTTTTCAGAAAATTGTCAATTAATACGTAGTAACTGGTAACTAAATTTATAAAGTACTTTGAAAGTTTAACATAAAGAACATCTTAATAGAATCACTGGGGAGAAGGGGAACCCATAAATTTCCCTGCCTTTCCTAGTTTGTATAATCAAAAGGTAACTCAATAATTAGAAACATTTTGTTTCTTTTAAAAGTTATGGGTTGATCATTACCTATAAACTATCAAAAAATATTTAATTTACTATTTCTGACCAAAAATAAATAATACAAGTACTAAAAGGCTGCAAATTAACTATAATATTACCTATAAAACTACTGATCACTGTGAAGTCAATAGCAAAATGATCCCTGATTTTATGAATCCTGTAAAGTTTTTGGTCAGGTCATCTTCTAAATGATATAAAAGTGTTCTGTAAGTATCCCTTTACTATAAACTTCTCAATCAATTTATTAATGTAAATATAGTGTGAGGAATAAAAAAGCTCAATACAATATAAATATTATGTAATGCATTCAAGCCCCCAAATTTTTCCAAGTAAAATTCTGTATAAAGAGGTCAATAAAATTGTGTTGAAATGTTTATCTTTAACTTTGTTTTTCAATGGGGTGGGGGGAAGAGGAAATATATTAAATAATCCAAGTTCTGGCCCTCACAAAATATGGCTTAATTCTTTAAAAAGAAAGATGACCCTGACATCTGCTGTTTTGCAATCTATTATGTATACTTTCTTGGGGACAAAAACAAAAGAGTAAGAGGATTCATACCCTAGTATGCAGGTAACATTAATAGCTGAAGAGGGTTCAGTATAGATCAGAGAGACCAAATGTAACTACTTGCTTGTGTAGTTTCCCACTCTTCAGTTTCTTTAAACATATGTAAGCAGTTTTTAAATGTGATAAGCTGAAAATCTCTTTAGTACTACAGGTATATGTGATTATTAGATACACACAAACACAAGTGTAAAAACACATGTATTTGACAAGGTGCACTTATTTTTTTAAATTCAGCTTTAAGTATTCCTTTTGGACTTAGGAAAACTGGCTTAGAAAAAGTGATCAGAACCTGAATTTTAACAGAGAAAAGGGGCACTCGGAGAATTTTGAATTTCTGAAGCAAACCCCCATTCTTTATATGGAGGCACACGCTTTATAACATTTTACCACTAAAACTGCATACTCCATAAATCCAACATGGATACTCTGAACCACATTTTAAAACTGCTATATAAAATTACTGGTCTCTTTTATGAGTCTAGTAAAAGTTAAAATGCACTGCCCAGCTTCTAACTACCCAATTAGTAGAGAGTTTACATTACCAAAAGTTCAAAACAGCTTCAGTGTTAAATATCTGTAAATCTATTCAAGACCCTGAACAAACTGCAAATTTGGTTATTAGCAAAATGATAATGTATCGCCCACCAAAATGAAATCTGTAATTCATTTTGATAAACTGAAAATGTTTTGAAATGTCACAGCAGCAAATATATTAAAGTTACACTGAGGTTTTTCAATAGTAGGAGTGTGTCACAATCCTTAAAATTTAAAGTAGTCATAACATCAACTAACCAGCACATTTAAACCAAAATTATCATTCTCAAGCTTTTTCTGTGCACATTATAAACATGCTCTAAGTTGCATTCCAACTTTCTTTTCTAACCTTACACATTAGCTTATTTTTCAAATGAAAAACAAAATTAAATTATTTTAATAATTAAATTTAAATTACTTTTTGTTCTTAGTATTCCATCTTATATTAAAGGATTCTATAGCTGCTGGGGTTAACTATGTGTCAGTATTTTTTTTTAAAGTATATACCTTATAAACCCCAACTTCCTGCTAAATCAACTATTAAATGATAAATATTAAATTTCATTATACATATCATTTAAGGTTTTCTTTTCTATTCCTGGTGGATGCACTTGAGTGCATTTCATATTTCATAGAATGCACTGTAGTGTACTAATACTGTATATGTTAATTTTTATTAGTGTGGAGATAACTATTTTAAATTTTGACCGGTTGTTTGATATACTTACAATAACTGTAAGTATGTTATGCAAGAATGCTTACAAGCTATTAATATCATATTTCCATTATAAGATGGTTTCAACTGAATGGCTGGAGTGGTCTTTCACTAATAAAAATGTTTCACTTGACAATTACTTGTTTTCCCACAACGCTTTATGCTATTGACTACTAAAGAAAACCTGAATCCTTTTCACCTATTTATACAAGGATTAAATACAAACTATCAGAATTAAGTAAGCAACTATATAATTCTGTCCACAGTGAAAACCCTGAATAAAACTTTTTTCAAAAGGCATGTAAGTGGTTTTTGAACTGTAAAATTTCATGTCTCCTGTCAGAGTGAGCATCTGTAATTCCCACATGTGTGTATACAGACACACAAATACACACCTGTGCACATACACACACACGCAAACACACATACACACACACACACACATTTTCCTAACAAGTAATCTACACAGGCTTGCTGCTGTTTTTGCAGCTGCCAGTCCCTGAATCTGTCATATTATATAACCCAGTGTCTGGTAATCGGAGTTTCTTCTTCGGAGGAGTCTTCAGTGTTCCAGATCTTTCTTTTACCTTGTATTCTAAAGTGCTGTGAGGTACCCCATAAATTCCTTGTGCTTTGGAAACACTCATTTTTCCACTCATTACCATTGCAATAGCCTCTTCCATTATTTCATGATCATACTGCCGGTAACGGCCACGTTTTTTCCTGGGCTGCTTATTATCTTTTCGATCCAATCCATCTTCAGTATTTTCAGAGGTTCCATCAACTGTTCCATTTTTAGAATTAAGACACAAAGGAGAGAGGTCCCCATGTAGAAAATAAGAGTCAACACTTGAGTGAGTTACGGGCCCAGAACATTCTATTTTGCTCTGTTTAGGGAGTATATTTTTCAGTTTTTGGAGAGCTGATCCTTCAAGGACTGGAGAGGTTTTGGAAACTTGATACATAACATCCAGCAGACCAGGACCATCAGGTTGTGGTTTTGAAACAGAACTTACTCGCAGCTGAGGAATTTTTAACTGTACAGTAGGATGTGAAGTTTCATATTGTAGGCTTTCATTTTTTTCTTTAAATTGAGTAACCATTTTCTGTAGAGTTAACTGATGGAGGTAACTGGAAGCTGTTGGGAATTTTAATTCTGAGGTTTCAAGTAGATTGAGTTTACTTTTTTCTGTGCGCTCTGCTTGAGCTCTTGCCCACAAGGCTACTTTTTGCAGCACTGCACAAGTTTCTTTACTGTCTTTATATGAGTAACTATCATTGAAATCTCGAGTTTTGTTTTTAAAAGATGCAGGCTTCCCTGCTGGTAAGGCTTCTAAGTGGAGAAGTAAAGTTTTTTGAGGTATGCCATAAAGTATGCCTGCTTTATTTATGTCCAGTGCTCCAGACTGAATGTCTTTCAAAGCTTTTGAGAGCAAACCATCTGCAAACTCAGCACTTCTTTCCACATAGTCCTCTCTGTTTCTGTGTAGTCTCCTGGATGGATGGAATGAAACGATGGTAAACTGATGCATGAGAGACTCTCACACAGCTATGGAAGGGGAGGGTCCACTCCTTTATTATACTCCTTGCTTAGGTAACATCACTGCTTATGACTCTTTTAAGTCTGTGAGATGTAGTAGTTACTCCTTATCAAAGCAAACGCTACAGTCCTGGTAGGACAGTGTGTCAATCATACGGTGGCCTCAACGGGCAGACCTTCCAAGAACATAAAATCCTAACCGAGTATTTGTAAAAAATATTCTCATGATGTTGCTATTCCTCTGACAGATGCTTGCAGAGCAACACTTTTAATTTTTTTACAATTAGAGTTCCATTATAAAAAATACCCAAATCCTAAAGGAGTTTTTGTTAGTAGAAACGTGACGTTACCGCTAAACAAGTAATAAAAGAGTCAACCCCTTTAAAGGAAATTTGTAGCAGCAAGAATATTTCCAAACACAAACATCCCATATTTCCACAAGACTAATTTTTTTCTAGATAAAAACTTAAAATTTGAAACAAGTAGATAAGTTATATTTGGGTAAAATAATTTTAGATATTATACACGTTATTTCTACTTTAAATGTTATCACTATACTTTTCAAAGTTTCTCAAATAGAAAGCTCATTATACCCTGTGACTCAAAAAAGCTATTACAGCCTTAGTTGAAACAAATTTCACTCTACATCCAAGATTTAAACGTGACAAAAAAGCTTCCTATGCAGTTTGCTAATGGGAAGATGCAAAAGTTACAAAAAAAAAATTCCGAAAGTCCAACAGAACAGCATTTCACTATTATTTATTTATTTATTTATGTAATTTAACAACAGCTTTAAAGCATGAAAGGACTTTTTGTGGTGATTTCTAGATATATTAAATTGTCTGCCACCACACCTAAAACACAATAAAAAAAAATCTGAACACTGTTAAGTTAGTTATAAGAATTAGTAAGTACAGTATTTTTAAAATTGGTTGATTGTTTAAAAAACTAAATAGTGAAATTACATATTTTCCTTAAAATTGCCTCCTAAATATTAAATTTAAAATTCTCTCACTTGTCCTGCTTCTTAGTTGGTATTCTATGATTAAGTTGGTAGTTCATTTTAGTAACATGAACTAAAGTTTGGTGATTGTTCTGATAACTTTTCTTTAACAGAAAGAATAAAAAAGAAAGAGAAAAGACAAATGAAAGGTATGAGAGACACACACTTATGAGTGACGAAAATTCTGGAAGAAAACTATATATGTCAATCTACTCAAAGTAGTATTAAGAGTTCTCTGCATAATTTTATATTAATATTAACTTATTATTTCCTAGATATTGCTTACCCAGCCATTGAATTTTCAGAAGAAGGATCACATATGGATGACTCTTCAGATTTTATGCTGGTTTTCTTTGTAGAGAGATCTAACACTCCATCCCCTATAATTTTTGCAAGAGAAAAAACTTTATATTTGTGACAAATAGGTAATCCTTACATTTTAACATTTCATATTTTGATGATCTCCTAATTCATGACCTAAAAATTAACACTTGCACTTGACATGTGGCCATTACCAACTCATCTTACGGTTTTAGTAAAAGGACATGACTGGGAAGGCACTACATAGGAAAAAAGAAACAGAGAAAGATCTGGCATTGCCAAGTGATATGAAGAAACAAAGAGACTATGAATATAAAATCTGTTTAAAATTCAGCCTTGGTCACCTTTCCCACTGTTCTACAGTGAGCCATTTGACTGCTCATTCAATAGAAACAGGACTGTTTTCTATTCAAGGCTGCCCAGATGATGCTTTGGGAAAGTAGGAATAATGTATGTCATACAAAACAGAGCATAGAAAATATGATGATGAATAAGAGAACAATAATTAGCATTTACCAAGACTAGCAATATGTGGGACATACACTTTAGGTAATCCTTGACTCTATGTTCAACCAATGCATTTTTTGGAACTCACAGTATAACATCTTACTGTTTTTAGTAACTGAAATACACAACAGTTGAATCATTGCCTATGTAATATATTGTGGTTACATCTGTGATTGGATGAAGACAAAATAAGACATTTTAAGAAAAACAACCTGTTTGAAAACAACTGCCTATATATTTGTTACTAAAATGAAGTTGTTTTTATTACTATTATAATATTGAATTTACATAAATAAAACTTAAATGACTCATATATTGTTAATCCAATAAACTTCAAAAAGAACAAAAATATGAATTTAAAACACAGCAACAAATAATGCTGTGAGTATGTCTTTACTGATAGCTAAAAACTGAAAATTTAAGCTAAAGGAAAGAAATTATAAGAAAATTCATATTGAAAAAATATACTCAAAATTTCAGCTCAGTTTAAAAATAATTCAACCATTTGCAAAGAGCACTGTTTTAGGAATCTGGAGAGCAGCAGTAAAAATGGCATACAAAGTACCTAGTCTCACAGTGCTTAGGATCTAGGCAAACAATTCATACACTACCTCCACCATCATCATCAACCATATTTCAGGTTGATGGTAAGAGCTACTTAGGAAAAACAAAGCAGAGTAATGAGGGTAGGGCTAAGGCGGTTGCCATTTTATCGAGCGTTAACAGTATAAGGCTTCTTTGACTTGAATAGAGTCCTGAAGAAAGCGAGTGTACCAACCAAGCGGGTTATCTGGGAGAAAGCTTCTAGAAGGATCAGTCTGTGATATGGAATCATATCTGGAGTGTTTAAGGAACAGCAAAGAGGCCAGGGTGACAGGAGTGCAGTAAGCCAGGCTGAGTGAGATGAGATCAGAAATGTTACAGGAAGCAGATCGCATAGGGCCTTATGGGCCATGGCAATAAATTTGAATTTTATTTAGAAGGAGACAAGAAACCACTGGAAGACACTAAGCATAAGACAGGCACAGGTTTAATTTATGTTTTTAAAGGATCAATCTGCTGTGGGGAGAATGGACTGCAAAGAGCAAAGGGTGGAACAGGGAAACCTGTTGGGGAAGTGCTAGGCTATTTTTCAGCTATGGGCTTTCGCACTTTCAATTAGCTACCTCTGCCTAGAAGACTCCTAATCCTTTCCTTTTATTCCCACACTGATACTAATTCTCACCAAATCTTACTCATCATTCGGTCATTCAGGACACAAACTGAACTTGGTTGTAAGAATTCTAGGTTCCTATACCTGCAACACTTACCTACGTTACTTAGCATTTAGCAGGCTATATTCTAGTTGTGTGTATACTCCCTAGGGCTAGCCACCAGACGATAAGCTATGCGAAGGCAGAGACCATGTCTACTTTATTTATTGATGTACCCCACTGCCTACAACAGTGCCTGGCACACAATAAGTGTTCAAGAATATTTGATAATTAGAATTTCAAAGAATTAGAAGAAATTCAGTTACTGCTAGAAGTTAGAATGCCTGGATTAAAAGGGTAAAATGGGAGACTGGATAGATAAAGTATACGGTACATTGTTTTGTGTGTATATATTATCAAGGTACTAATAATTAACTTGATGAATAAAAACTAAGTACTTACTATGCTAAAAATGCTGCAGAGCAATATAAAATAAATAAAACACAAAGAAAGAGAGACTGAAATTCTTTTACCATTCATCTATTGGTAGGTACTTAGGTTGTTTTAGTTGTTCACTATTACAAACAATGCTGAAACGAAAATTCTTCTAAATGTTTTCTTTTGTTCATGTATAAAAGTTTTTCAAAGATACACACCTAGGAGTTTAAGTGCTGGACAGCAGGGTATACATTTTAAACTTTTGTAGGTATTACCAAAATTTTTTCCATACCCTTGACAACACTTGGTGTTGCTGAGATTTTTAATTTTTGCTAACCTGATGAGTAAGAAGACCAAGTTGCAGGGGTAAATTAGCATGCAAGCGTGCATTTAGTATACGTTTATGTGAATCCCTAAAGCACACAAAATTATTTTGCATATAGATGTATAAATAGGTATTATCAGTGGTTGCTGCCAAGGATAAACAAAGGATGTGATAATTCCTTTAGAGAAAACATACCAGAAGCAAATATGATCAAATAATACATTTAGTAGTCCTGGGTGAAGGGAACATGATTATTACACTGCATTTTCCTAATAAATACAACTGTTTCCATTTACTGGTTGTTGACTGAGCATTAACACCACAATTTAATTGTTTCTGATTAAACACTAATGTAAAAGATAAAGAATTAAAGAGAGGCCAGTGTAATCTTTCAACAGGGCAGATAATTGTGCACATGACACTATCAGAGATAACTTTTAAAATGGACTGATGTTTGAAAAACTGAAACCATGACCAAATTAAGCAATTTCTTGAGTATCAACATTTTATTGGGTTAAAAAAAATTTTTTTGAGAATTTGCATACCAAAACGAAGATTTGAATTTCCATTATCAATTGTTCTCAGTTCTTTATTTTCCTGCAAATTCCTAATAAAGAATCTATTCAAAGCAGACAAATGCATCCCTCATAATACAGAATTGTTTTTCACTCGTCCAAGGACACTATTCTTTCTCATCTCTTATCTGGCCTCTGTCCATTTTTCAAAGTATGCTTTGTGCTATCTTGGCCTGGCTAACTTACATACATCCTTTGGGATCAGCCCCTCAAAGAAGGTTTTCCTAATTTCCTCCTAGCCTTCTTCATACTTCTACAGCACCCTCTTCTTCTATACTTTATTTATGACATGTTATAATTTGCCTAGCTTATTAGGCAATCCAATAGTATTGTGGGAATTAGTAACTATGTTTAGAATCCATACAGATTAGAATCTTTACAATTTATATTTAATTAAGTATACTTACTTGGCTGATTCTCTCACAAGACTCACTTATAAAAACAAGGGCATGAGAGGAATAGTATCTCAAAAAAAGACCCATTCACTGACTCATCAATGACTTGCTCAATTTTGTCACACCAATGTCAGCATACAGCACTGCACACAGCAGATCCTGACTTGATAAAACAGTCATGAAATCAATGGACTTTGTTCAGCCAGCCCGAAAATGGCAGCATAGTCAAAAAGTTGCTTTCCATATGAGAGAGAAGTTAGCTTTACACAGAGAAATTCCACTTAAGTTAAAGAGGCTAAGAACAATTTTTAATCACCAATTTCTATATTTGTTAGATTCTAATAATCAGACAGATTTTTCTTCAGAAATGTCAAGACTGATGATCACTAACGACTTAATTAAATATGAATAATAAGTATATTAAAGATATTTTTATTAAATTCTCACAATATTATTGATCTCCAGGTGCTATACAAGACAAATTCATCAAGCTCAGTCCGTACTGAGCTAAAAGATTTTTTAAAAACATATTACTCATCATCAATACTAAAGATGTAAATATTGGTAAGATTCAGTACATGAAGGCAAATGAATCTTAATAAGGAGAAAATCACATACATTTTATGTTTTTTGGACAAGGGGAAAAATATAACAAATTAAATTTCATAAAAATACTAAACAATAGCAATAAAAGTTTCATCAAAATCACTGCAATTTAATATTTAATACTCTTTGATGCAAACCTACGTTAACAATTTTAATAAATACCTTAATGCTATTTCTACTTTATGTCTCTGACCACTTCTTATCTAACTCTTTAAATGGGTCTTCTTGTCTTCCTTTTAGCCCCTCAATGTGCTGTTCTAGTCAGCCTTTGGCTCTTCCTGGTTTTCTCCTACTGTACTCTCTAGGAGATTCCCATGATTTCAAAGTAATCATTTATAGTCAACTGATTTCCAGAAAATAGAACTTACATAAAATCTAAATATATAAAACTATACTTTTCTATAGTGTACACAAAGTATGCAAAACACTACTCCAAGAGCATTGCATGTCTTGACCCATTCAGTGCTCACACAACCCAGTATACATAAATAGGCTTTATTAATTTGCAAATTTTAATGACAAAACTGAGAGTGAAAGAGAGGTTAGTTATCTTGCCCAAGGTCACACAGCTGTAAGTAGTGAAAACACTATTCAAACTCAGGCAGTCATATCCCAGAGTATGCATTCAACTACAATTCTAATCTGTGTAATTTTTTAAAAAGACAAGTTACAATGTTGATAATGGTATAATAAACTTAGCACCTTTAAACATTACCACTTCAGAAATGGAACACTTTTGGAAATAATCTAGCAATATGCTATCAAAAATCTTTAAAATGTTCACATTCTTCAAGGCATCTATCTTAAGAAACTAGTATTTAACATGAACATGGTTTTATGCACAAAAATATGCCAAAGGTTTCCATATTACTGATAAGTAGAAATACATTTTTAAACACTCTAAATACTTAAAAAACCCAAAATATCAAATATAGAATAATATCTGGAAATAAATATAACAAATGGAACATAACCTTTAATAAGGATGTGAGTAATTAAAATGTGTGTGGGCACCAACTCACACATATGTATGTATACATAATGTATATATAATATAAATACACACACACATAATATATATAATCTTGCTCTCTAATTTTCTGTTTTCCCCATGTTTGCCATAATGAGCATATATCAATGGAAAACCCCCACAAACTTATTAACAAAATAATACCAAAGTATAAAAGCAATCCCTTGGGTTTATCAAATTTTTATTTTAAAATTGTTTTTGTCATTTGTTTAACCGCTGAGTTAGTTTCAGAGTCATGGAGGAAACAATCAATGTAATAATAGAGTAGCACATCAATTAACATTGGTTTTTCTTTCCCTCATCTGCCTTCCTCTGCATGTCAAACATCTTTTTAAAAGGGAAGGGATATTGCCTTCCTGACATGTTTTATTTAGTGCATACATAGGTGAAATCCTATAGAATTCATCTATCTAATACTTATTAATACTGATAAGAGGCAAAATAAATCAGAGTAAAGTGCTTATAGTAAATTTAGGATGTGGAAATTGAACTAGGAAACTGAACTAGGAAAATATTACTGGTAAAATTAAACAAGGTTTCAGCACTTCCACCACAAGCCATTTTAGAATTTCATTGTAAAAAAAAGAAAGAATTTCACTGTAGTTCTTTCTTTCTTTAGTTATTCCTTTAAGTACTGAACTAAAGCAAAGTTTCAAGAGGCTTCAAGTCAATACCTTGAAAAATATTTTAAAAAACACATTCTCTTTTTTATCTTACATATTGAACTACTTTATTCTGTAAGTTTAAGTTTTAACCAAACATTTAAAATGTGGAATGTATATTTATTACAACTATATATTGGAAAACTTTAGATTTGCTAGCCCTTGTCATGCTCATCCAAAAATGATTTATATGAACTTCAAAAATTTTTTTACTGAAATATGACATTCATAACAAGAATGAACATAAGTACATAATTTAATGAATTTTCATAAACTGAACATGCTTATGTAAATAGCACCTAGGTCACCACCATCAACCTAGAAGCTCCCCCATCATACCTCGGGGTCACTAACTTACCCCCACATCCACTATCTTGACTTCTAACAGCTTTATGCAAGCTCTTTTATGCAACAATTTCACTTCTAGGAAATTGTCTTCGAGTAAAAATTAAGATTGAGTGCAAAATCTCAGCTAAAGCATGTTTACTTATATATCTGAAGATATGAATTAAATATAATGTGATCTTTCCATAATACAGAATACTGTTCGGCTAAGTAAATCTATTTAACTATTAAAACGGATCTGCAGAAAAATAGTAACATATGGATGTTTAAAAAATATTTAAAAAATACAAACTACAGAGGATTATATATAATGAATGATTTGTGGGAATGAGCTCTGGCAGAAGAGAGCAAGCCTAAGAGTGTGTGTGTGTGTGTGAGTATCTTTTTCCAGGAAGATTCAGAAGGATTGAAAACTTAACCATAACAGTTACCTATCGGTAGGTGAAGAAAAAATTTTTAGTTTGTTCATTTGTTTATTTTTAGCTTTTCTACAATGCATAGCTTTACAGTTCATTCATTTGATTAATATCTACTGAATGGTTATAATGTACGCACAGTAGGAAGCAGAATAGAAAATGTTCCTGCTCTCAGGGAATTTATCTTCTAGCAGAGCATAAAAACGAAAGACAAATCAATAAAAAAATAATTTCACAAGGTGTTAAGACCTATAATGAAAATAAAACACAGTAACAGGACAGAATAACAATGGCCAAGTGGGAAGAGGTTACTATGTTGGAATAAATGATCAGACAAAACCTCTAAGAAAATGACTTGTTCTTTTTTTAAAAAAGACATTTTACTAAGACAAATTTCAAACATACAAAATATAGAATAACCATTCCTCTATAGCTTTATCTTCTGATGATGATGTTTGATTCAATTATCTTACTAGGAGGGTGGGACGAGGTGGCCGAGTGGTTAAGGCGATGGCTGCTATCTTACTAGGAGGTATGAAATAGTAATTTTAAGTCTATCATGTCTTCCATATTAGATGAAACTCTTCTTCAAGAATCTTCCTTAAATGAAGTCCATCTGGTTGTCTTGAAATACAATTTGTAAGAGAAAAGCAAAATAAATACTTAACTCCTTCCTCTAGTTGCTCATTTTCAAAGTAAGGAAATGGTATGTTCCTTCAGTGTGGACTAGTAACTTCAATGGCTTTTTTTTTTAAACTATGGAATGCTTCATGAATTTGCATATCATTCTTGCACAGGGGCCATGCTAGTCTTCTCTGTATTCTAATTTTTCATATGTGCTGCTGAAGTATCATACACTAATGGATTTTAAAACATTCAATATGTTTCAGCTGTAATTGTTCTTCCTTTCGATGCTTAAATGTTCTCCTATTTGGCCAGAAGGAATCCTTAACACTGGCTCTTATATTTGGTTGACAAATTAGTCTTTGGCGCTTCCCTGCTTGCTGATAAAAGAAGTTCCAGGCTCATTCTGCACATTTTCTGATCCAGACTTGGATTCCAAGGAGGCCTGCTTTCTTTTAAAGGAAAATAATATATAGAGACCACAATCCAGGCCTAAGTTCAATGCTACTGAGCTGTCTGTCATGCTTTTAGAATATTTCAGGGGTCAGACTAGGAAATGTGTATTTTTGAAAAGAAAAAAAAATGTGAGTTTGCAGTGACACTTCCAATTTACATGTAATATTACAGAGTTACTACTTTGACTTTGCACTTGTTTCTTCTTTTACCCTGAAAATCTTAGTTTCCTAAAACAACGTTAACATGGTTACATATTTGATTTATTCTATAAATCCAAAATAATGAACAATGACAATATTATTATTAATATTATTAAAAGAAAGTTTAGGATTTCTTTGAAGTATCCCTTGTCCTTAGATTATATTCCACCAAGAAAGTATGGTCAAAATACTGGGTAAAGTCATTGATATAATTCTTTTCTCAGTATCAGTATGTTACTGACTTGATGTGGCCAGGTTCATTTGTAACATTCTTTTTCAAATTTTAGGGATCACTTTAATTTTTTAAAATGTTTATTCTTTGGATTATGTTGAATATTTGCATAAAACTACATAACAAGGTTGATTCACAGCACTTCCATCCTGCCCCCTCCACCTCATTTACTTAATTCCCTTACAGGTAACCATGCTTATTAGTTTTTATCTTTCCTTCTTTGTTTATATAGAAGAGAACATGTAACATGTACCGTTCTGTAACTTGCTTTTAAATGTCACTATAAGTTTAGGGATCTTTCTCACCCTTCTTTTCCCCCCAAATGTTCAGTCTTTCACCGTGTGAATGTACGATAATTTAGTTAACCATTTGCGTTACTTCCAATTCCTTGCTATTATAAATAATGCCCCCAGTGAATAAACTTGCATACATATCATCGATACTTATATGAGTGTAATTATAGGCTCAGTTCCTTGAAATGAGATTGCTGGGTCAAAGGGTAAATGTATATAATGTTAATAGATACTGTCAATTCCCCTCCATAAGGATTGTACCAGTTTGTATTCCCCAATACATGAGAATGCCTGTTTCTTCACAGTCTTACCAAATAGGTTACATTGCTAAGCTTGAATTCTCAGTAGTCTGATAGGTGTGAACCATATATGAGTGTATTTCCTGTGAGTTTATGAGTGTATTTTTCTATGTTTAAAGGCTCTTAAAATTTCTTCATCTATGAAGTGACAATAAAACAATGCTCATTTTTCTATCAGTTTGTGGATCTTTTAGTTCTCAATTTTTTGAAACACTTTATGCACTAGATTATTAGTCCTTTATTTTGTAATATAAATTACAAATATTTTTTCATAGATTGCCATTTGTCTTTTGATTTTTCTAATGTTATTTTTATACATTCGATTTTATCATTCCCCTACTGTTAAGGTGATATTCTAATTGAGATACAGATGAGGAAGAGGGGCAAGCCAGAGGAACAAGAAAATCTGAAGACTAATCCAGACAAAGCGATCAGCAAGAGCAAAGGTTCAGAAGTGAAGTGAGCCTGGCATGTGTTGGTTAGTGTGATTTGCACATAATAAGCCAGGAAGAAAGGAAAAGGAATAAGTCCAGTGGGGTAGACAGAGACAAGATCTTAGCAAAGTCATACAAGTCATGGAAAGAAAATTTAAATTTTGTTCATGTAACAGAAAACTCAGAGGAAGATTTAAATATGGAATACTATCTAGCTTTACTTTATTCAGCCTGAGCATGAGAATCCTATTTTGGCACCCTGATAACTTCAAAATTATGTTAAGGTATATATTACCGAATATTTTATTTGGAGGGAAAACACGTGAAGAAATTAAAAGGGAAACAAAAACCCAACGAATTGTCTCTTGGAAACCATGTGGTAATAGAATGGTCAATTTTATATCAAACTATAACAGGTTCAGGAAAAATGTAATGGCTACAAAGAAAATGATTTATTTATTCTTTTTCTTTCTTGTACTTCATACAGCTAATCAGGTTAGTCAAGTGACGATTTGTTTACATGGCAATATTTATGGAACTTTTGAATTTAAAATGCATGGTTTTTTTGTTTCTGTTATTATTTACAAAATGGAAAAAAGAAAAATCCAAATCCAGCTTAAATATACTGTAACAATCATACTTCTTGACACTCTACAATCTGATTTTATGGAAAAAGCTTTGACTTTTCTCTTGATTTTTAAGTGACTGAGAAAATCCTCATACAGCTCCTCAGACATACCTGATCTGCTCCTGCCTTCTTTGATTTCTGATATTTTTGTCTTTGTTTTTGGTACTTCTTTGGCCTGGAATGCCCTGCCCTCATATCTCACATGAAGGACCTCTCACCATTCAATTCTCTGATAAAACTCACTTCTTCAGTGAGGCTTTCCTGACCACCTTACCTAAAATAATCCTCTCAAGTCACTCTTGGTATCTTGCTTATTCATTCTTTTGTAAAATTAGGGGCACGTTGACAGGCATATTTCAAAAAAGTAATGAGTAACTTCTGGAAATGAAAAAATAACAACAAATTAGAAACTCAAGACAAATATTAAACAGTGGTTTGAGTAGCTCAAGAAAGAAACAGTGAATTTGGAGATAGTTCTAAATAAACTAATCAGGATATAACACAGACAGATAAAAAGTTGGACGATATGAAAGAGAAGATAAGAGATATGAAAACTAGAATGAGAGGGTCCAAATTATGTCTCAGTAAATTCAAATAAGAGATAAAGTAAGAATTATAACATATTTGAAAAGATAATGGCTGAACAATCGTAACTGATGAAAGAAATTTGTCCTCAGTTTTAGAAATGTTTTGAAATGATATGACTCACAAGCAGAATAAAAAAAAATATACACCCAAATATATCCAAGACAAGCTGCAGAACAGCATAAACAAAACAGAGACAGAGTAAGAGACAGATGCTAAAAGTTGAGAGTCTGAAGATTACTTACAAAAGAAAGACTATTTGTTGGGTAGTTACAGCAACAACAGAAGCCAAGACACAATCACAGCAGCAGTGGCGAGAAAATAGTAACTGTCAGCCTAGACTTGTGTACCCAGAAAAAAATCTCTTTTAAGAACAAAGGTTAAAAAGAAATAAGAAACTGAAAAAAATATTCTGAGAGTTTACTACCAGTAAATCTTTATTAAAAGAATTTCTGATTTCAGAAGACACTTTGAGATATAGGAAGGGATGATAAGCAAAGGAAAAAGGTAATCATGTATGTAAATCTAAATAAAAATTGATTATATAAAAATAGTTATAATATTTTAATTGCGATGTTATAAAAAGAGAATTAAAGCATTGATAAATTGGCTATATGTGTCATGGCAGGTAACAAGCTAAAATATTCCTTACTTTAACTGTTGAGTTAACTAAACATTAAAAAACTTCTGGGGTAATTACTACAGAATAGCAATAGAGTATATAATTTCAAAATTAGCAAAGAAAGAAGATTAAAATAGAAACAATGCAATCTAAAAGAAAATAACAAAGGAGGAAAAAAGCTTAACAAATGGGACAAATAGAAAGCACAAAATAAGATGGTGGAAACAATTACAAGGGTGATGAGGCTACAAAAGAATACAGGATGCTGTAGAAAAATACAGTAAGAGACCAAAACAAATTTTGGTGGTAATTAACCAGAATGTGTGTGTGTGTCTGTGTGCATCCAATTTAAGAGTGTGGGGTAGGTTTTCTTAGAGAACTGATGTTTAAAAGGAGACCTAAAGAAAAGCCCAGTAAGATTTATTTAGAAAAAATTGGCAGAGGTAGGGAGTGGCTTCTGCAGAGAGGCAAAAGCATGTATGAATGTTCTGAGGCCAGAGTATGTGACATTCAAGAAACAGAAAAAACCAATATGAAGACTAAAGAGAGATGCAAGATGAGAACAGATAGGCAGGCAGAGTCTGGATCTTGGTGAGTCCAGGATTTTAGACTTTTTCCTAAGGACAATTAGAAATCATTAAAGTGTTTTAAGCAGATGAGTGGTATGTCCTGATTTGGAATTTTTAAATATCATTTCTTTCTCTTATTCTTAGAGTCAGAGAAGGTTAGCCTGGAAGGGACATGGATAATCTTGGTATGTTTTACTTCTCAGGTTTACTAAAATATGGTATCTTCTCGATCATGGAACATTAACACTTTCTTCCATATGTCTTTAGCTTTGGAAAACAAAAGTTAAGCACAGAAAAACAAGATGGATAATTTTATTGCTTTCATTATGAGATACAGAAATATCTTCTCTTTCTTTAAAAAAATTGTTCAGTATTTTCCTAACAAAGTAACAACAAGCTTCATTTATAAATAGCGTAGTTTATAAAATGTAGTATCATAAAATGATACATGACTCTCTAAATTACAGTTTAACATCTCAGCTGACAACCTCACCTACCTTAATCTCAGCCAAGAAACCAGATTAGGGGTGGTGGCAGCAACAACACTAAAGGATACTTAATGACAACTGGACAAATCACTTAAATTTGTATCTTTTATTCAATATAATCTCCCAAATGTTCACTTGAAGTCTAGTTCATATTAGTCTCATATATAATTTGTCTCTTAAAAAATCTTATTCAAACTAGGAGATATGGTTTCCAAAGTTCAGCCTACTGATAGCAATGTGAAATAATTTCTTAAAAAATTTAACTTTATTTTGTTGCCAAGAGAAAATAATTCTAAAAATGTCAAAAGGTTACAAGGCACTTCAATAATTAATGTTCATCATGACACAATGTTTCATACATTGTTTAAGTATAAAGACATTACATAATATTTTCCTCTAGTATGTTTAAAATAAGAAATTTCACTGCT